CACGAAAACTATTAATTTCCAGCTTCCAAAACATGTCCCCTCGCAGTATATATTATACGCTACCTTGGGAACGTCGAGCAAAACCCCAAGAAAAGCGCTTGAAAGAGTTCTGCACATGCATGGAGAGCTGAAGGCTCCAAGAAAAACTTCCCCAACAAAAAGAACACACCAAAACTACTCAGCACATGTCAGGCATCACGCGCGACCTTCTCCGCGAACTTGGACACCTTGGAACGGACCTTCTCCCAGTCCGTGGGCTTCACCAGCTTCCTCAGGCTGGGCATGCCCGAATGCAGGCCGGAGGGGACGTCCAAGGGCTCTTCCTGGCCTGGCTGGGCATGATGTCACTCAGTCCAAGTTGTTCTTTGGGGATGAGAAGAAGGAAGAAAGCATGTCACAGCTCATGTCACGGTGTGTTCACCCTTTCGATATACACGTCGACCGCGGTCCTTTCGGGTCCCTTTCCCTGATTCCCTTTCCGTTCCGACGACGACCGGGTCGATCGGCGAGAAAGACGCGCGAGCCCGGAGCCTGCCCGCCCCCTGAGCCCGGACAGACCCCAAAGATGAACCAAACGTGCTTACAAGTTTGAAAGGTTTTGGTTGATGGTGATGGGTCTTCAGTTTGGGTGACCTTTGCTTGGTGCATTGCGATTGTGTCCACAGCGAGTCCCGCTCGTGCGGCGAACTTGAGGAACAGCTTACCTATGTGTAACGTGGCCTGGAAATAGAAAAAGGGTGCCTTTACACCTGTCCAGTTCTACATGCCAGGAGTCACAAAGTCACAAAGGGGTGGTCTTTACTCACTAAGCGAGTGGACAATGGGCACCCCTATCCTCCAGGGTCGGCACCCCTTTGGAACTACTGGTGGCTGTTATTGTGTCATTCTGTCTTCACCTGTGGACTAGATCTAGATCTGCTGAAAAACCTTTCAATGCAAATTGTGAGCGAGTGACGCTTGAAGTTCAGCTCGACTTGTTGCACATCCTGAAGTTCCGTGTCCACATCTACCAGCAAAAACATCTCCTGAAGATCCAGAAACGCTTGGGCCGAAGAGCTGCGGCTGGTGCTGCCTGATCGGACTGAAGTAGCGTCTCCCTGCGCCATGGGCGAAGTGCTTTTCCTCAGGTTCCTTGGAGATGCCAATGGTCAAAGACAAACAAATAGAAATAGATTTTAAAAAAGAAAACCATATGGATAGTTATCGTCAGGCACAACCAGAATGACAGAAAGGCGATTGTTGGGGCATGGTAGGTAACAAATGCCAAATTGAGGGGGGCCAACATGGACCCCAACATGGGTCTTTTCATGGTTCCTCTTTGCTTGGTGGATTGGGTGAGAGTCGGTGGAGCTTTGACGTGTGATCAAAGACCTCATAAGACCACAGCCTAGTCACCAACACGAATGGAGTTTCATATGTCCTCTCTTCCCCTGTGACTAAAGTATCTGTCTCATGACAGCATGGCCACATGACCGCATTTCTAATGAGTCAAGGACATTCAACTTATGACCGCTTGTTCTAACAGTGTACACACAGACACACACACACACACTATATATATATATGTGTGTGTGTGTTTTCCTCGGCTCTTTTGATTCTGCTCTTCTAGAAGTCCACCTCAACGGCCTCTTTCCATTTGAAAACGGCCGGAAGTTCCATCTGCGTGCCTCTACGAGCACATTGTTTTTTTAGCTTGGCCGAGGTAGCAAATCCGTTCTCACCGCTGAGGGCTTGACTGCCGCACTTCAAAAAAGTGACTTTGCTTCCTTTCCGCCACAAGTCATGCGTCAAGTGTCCTTGCCACTGTGGTGGTGGTTGCCGTGCTTCGTTCCAACATCTGTTTCGGATGAAAATGCTCAACTTGTCAACTGAGCTACGCCTCAAGATCATCTGGCCACAGCCTGCACAAACCAGATAGTTCTTTTTCAACTCAAGCACACGCCCTCCCATGGTCCGGATAGGTGCCAGCAAGCATCGGCTGAATCGTGTCAGCTTTGCTGATGGCAGCTTTGCTGATGGCAGCTTCTTCCGCACCCCTTTCGAGACAGGAACACCACACGAACAAGCCTCTGACCTAAACCTCAAGAGCTGCTCATGGGACACATACATATTGGCCCTGCAGCGACAACCTTTGCACTGAAGCCCTGCACCCTTGGCAGTCCAAACATGGCCACCGTCAACACAATGGCCAACTAAGGCCGCATAGGCATCTTCCTTGAGCTGGCGAGCAGCGTCACGTTCTTCTTTGGCACTTTCTCTCGAAATTCGAGTGAAATGTTGCTTGTCATCAAGAACAAATTTCACCCTTTCAATGGCCTGCAAAGCTACTTCCCTGCATCGATCATCTTGTTGTGCAAGTTCACTCTCAGGCTTATGTGGCTGCATAGCCAAAGCACGTTCTTTGGCCACCTTAGAAGGAGACGACTTCTGAGGGACCACCCCCCAAGTGGGATCTCCTTCAACTGCTTCTGCGAGACATAAATGGGTCGAATCCGGGCTCTCTGGTCAGGAGTCACAAGGCAGTTCAGATCCCAAAACTGAGCGCCATGTTTCTGCTTATTCCAAGCCTCAAAAGCCAACGTGGACATGATGCGAATGGGAACATCATCAAACGAGTCTACGAAATGTCCAACAATTCGCAGGCCATAGAACCAGGCTCTTGGAAAGGACTGCCCATAGGGAACCACCGCCGTGATGCACCACCGCCGTGATACAACTCACCATCTTTGAGCGCATGGTGGACCACCGCAACCACAAGGTGTCGCAATCTGGGATCCTGACTTGTTGCTGCTACGCCAATCGACAAAGACTCCTTTTTCTTCCCCGGCAAGAGGTCATGCAATGACCAAGAGCCCCACATTTCCACAGAGGCACCTCCTGTGTCCAAGCTGTAGTGAGGCTGGCAAATCAAACCCTGGGGCCAGAATTCGAAGTTTGTGCCATTCATGAGTTCCATCTCCCATTCCTCGGGCAAGGCCTTGAAATGCGCTTCTTGGTCTCAGAGCACAACCAGAGAACATGCACCGCAGTGGCCGGCTCATGACAACGTGGGCAAGTGGGAGCAAGCCCCATAGCTTCATGCCCCCATCGAACGCTAGCAAGAACCATGCCCCAGGCCGGGACTCCCGGGACCATCCGG